CTTATCTCGTTTAGATTCTCAACGATATCAACATAAGAAGAAAAGAAAATTTCAGGAAATAAATGCTATTTAAACCATCCTGGGATATTTGAAATCACTCTCATTGCGGGAGATAAATTAAGTCCACGACTAAAACATTTAAGATAATAATTCTGCTTGAAAAAAGTAAAAAATAAAATAAAAATAAATAAAAAAAAATTTATTAAAAAAAAAAATATATATATATATATATAAACTGATTTGATAAAATTATTGCCACTGCTTTTAAAGAGATTTGAATTAGAAGAAACACTGTAAAAGCCTTATGAAGGTTGCAAAGAAGTTCTTCCGAAACCGTTTGCGCTCTCCGAATCTCACTAACTGATGTATTGGAAGTGCGATAAGTGTACACTGTATTATATCCGAGCGGCTTATTATAATGTACTTATAAATCGCACAAATATGACACTTACTCGTTATCCGGATCAAGGGCTATGGCTCTGGGTTCTTCCAATGCCGAGGAAATTAAAGTAAGTTGGTTGTTTCCATCCAGGTCTGATACGGAAATCCTATTATACGTTGTATCAGTCCAATACAACTGAGATGTTCTCCATTGAACGGCTAGTCCATCGCAGACACCAATATTGGTTATGATTGTAGTCGTGTTTTCCTCATCAATCCAAAATCGTTTGATGTTCCGTTCCGTCACGTCACTCCAAAATATGAAGCCCAGGCTGAAATGGATGTCTATAGCCACAGCTCTTGTAAGGCCTAAAATCACTGAGGTTACCTTTGCTTTTCCATGGTCCACTGTTACTATATCAGTTGTATTTGATACCAACAAACATGGTGGAGTGCAAAATGTTGCTATGAATGGAAAAATTGAGTGGCGTAAAAATGAAGACATGTGTATTGCATCAAACTAAACTACTGATCATTTTATCGCTGGCAGTACCCATGGGCAATATCGAGCGAGTTCTGTGCTCTAACTGGACTCTTTGTCATCTGACTGGGCCCATCTTACGTGCTCGGGATTGTCCCCTTTCATCCCGTCCAAGATAAACATTGTGTGGAGCAGCATGGAGCAGACATTAAAAGTTCGTAATTTTAGGATATTTTTGGCGATGAAGACGCAAAAAGCAAAGAACCATTAACAACACTGGGCTGGAAAGGACTGGCTGGACATGGGACATCAAACGATAGAGGAAAAATATCTGACACACCAAACAATAGGTAAAAAAACCAGATGATTAAAAATGGAAAACTGAAGGAGTTTATGATGGAAATACGGATCTGTGCGCCCTCAGTTATCGTTATTGCTTATTGTTAAGGTTAGGAAGCCTTTTGCAAAAGGATTTACACAGTTTTGATGAAGAGATATTTCGGTTGTTTGTTATTTGTTATTGTTGTTGTTGTTGATTGTTGTTTGCTTCTTCGTTTGTCTGTTAGTCGTGTGTCGTAACTTCCTGCAAAATGTGTTATAAGTGTGTGATAAGATATGTTATCAAAGGTCACCTACCTTTACAAGAAGGTACAGGGTTGTCCCAGACGCCTGGAGGCTTATCACCTTTGGCAACACATGTAACATCTGACGAACCATTCAAACGATAACCATTGGCACAGGAAAATTCACAACGCGCTCCATAATGATTACCACAACTGCCCATGCGCAAGGGACCCCCTTGGTCTACCATTAGTGATGTGCAATTGATGACTGAAAGACAGATAATTGATTGATTAATGAATAACAGAACTTCAAGGGAGCAAAAAGGTTAATAAGCTCTAAATGGCATTACTAATTCCTCCGCAATACAATTCTGGTCAGTTAATTCTGGAGCCCACTATCAACACGTTCTTTGAAGCGGGTGGAATCGATTGCTTAAATTAGATTTTACCTATTACTTCTATCGTGAAGCTGCAAGTGGCTTTGTTTCCTGATTGGTCTACTGCAGAGTATGTAACAACGTAATTTCCTTGGAGAAATCTCCTAGGTGGATGGAAATTAGAGTCTATCGACGGTTTTAATCCTGAGTTGTCAGTGGCCGTTGGTACTGTCCAATTCACCTCAGCGGAAAACGTGTCACGCTCTGCATACGCTACCAAAGGACTGGCTGGACATGGGACATCAAACGATGGAGGAAGAATATCTGACACACCAAACGATAGGTAAAAAAAAACCATATGATTAAAAATGAAAAACAAAAGGAGGTTATGATGGAAGTACGGATATGTACGCCCTCTTTATCGTTACTGCTTATTGTGGACGTTAGGAACCCCTTTGCAAGAGGGTTTTCACAGTTTTGATGAAGAGATTTTTTTTTAATTTTTGTCGTTGTTGTTGATTGCTGTTTGCTTCTTTGATTGTCTGTTAGTCATGTGTCGTAACCTCATGCAAAAAATAGAAACTTAGTGATGTGCCAGTACCTGTACAGTTGATGTTTTCCCCACTCCAAAGACTGCTTTCCAGGCATGTCCTTGTGACATTTCCGTCGACACTCCCATAACCACTTTCACAGCCAAATACACAATTTGAACCATACGCGTTGCCGCAAGAGGAGGTCAGTAAAACCCCTTTCGGTGGGATGATCAAAGTTGGACATGTTACAACTGTTTAAATAAAACGAAAATTGAAACAAATAGATTTCACGACTAAAATAACACAAATATCCATTTTGCAAAAGATTGATAATCCTTATATCAATTTGTGTAGTCCTCAGTAGGACATTTCAATGATGAACACCAGTTTTGCAGCTTCGCAGAGGAAGTCTTTGCCACTCCAAATCCCGTTTTCAATACACTTTCTTGAAGCAGAGCCAATTGGGTCTTACCCAGGATAGTAGAAGAAATAACGTACTGTATTGAAATATTCTATTGTTTTCCCTGAACAGATCAGCCGAGAGCTATTGGATGGTTCTGACAGAGCACGAAACAGTTAAAAGACATAATAAATTATTCATATTGTGCTTATTTAAATTACAACTGAGGTGCAGATAAAAGAAAAAAGTGAATCTCAACAGAGGTGAGAGGAATTTTTGGAACAGGAATACGCTAATGTCAAGGAAACGAAAGGACTGTAATATGAAGAAGAACTTTGATTTCAAGACGCTCTAAACCAATCAGAAGCAAACCTAGCACCTATCATGACTTGGTCGTCCTGCGCTTTAGGCTTTTTGTTTGTTTTTACTCTGAGATTTGAGTGGCTTTTCAGGGTATTTTCCTTCCTTCTGATTGGTTGTTGCAATAACTTAAGTTTCGATTTAATGACCCTCAATCGAAAAGCGCTCTGACTTCACCGATGACTTTCTGTGCATCCGTTTTACTCCCTCAAAGCAGTAGAATGATGGGCTCTTAACTCTAGAACTGTAAAATATGCAATGTGAAATGGATGCGAGTATTTGGGAGGATATTTTTACTTGGAACTCACAAGAAGTCTGAGAATAAGATATGGGATAACTAAGAAACGAAACGCAGACTTTTTGTGTTTTTAACGCGATAAGAATACTACATTTAAAATAGGGAAATTGCAGCTGGTGACAAGGAGATACCAGCCTGGTTCTTTTTGAGATGCACCCACACCAAAGAACCCATCCCCATAACCCCTCCCCCAAAATCATTATGGAAAAGGCAA